CTGGGGCTGGTGCTGGGGCTGGTGCTGGTGCCGGGGCTGGAGCTGGGGCTGGAGCTGGGGCTGGAGCTGGTGCTGGGGCGCCGAGGGCCATAGACACTAACTGGGCGCTGTGGGCACTAACTGGGCACAGAGGGCTGCGGGCACTGACCAGGTGCCGTGGGCACTAACTGGGCGCYGTGGGCACTGATCGGGCACGGTGGGCACTAACTGGGCGCTGTGGGCACTAACTGGGCCAGTGCCAGGGCTGGTGCCGGTGCCACGCGGCGCTTCCCACCGGTACTCACGGCGCTGGCGGCCTCGGCGGCGAGGCGGGCGGCGTAGCGGGCGATCAGCCGGTGCTCCTCGTCCAGCCGGCCCGGGCTGTCCAGGACGCTGCGGGGACAGAGCCGGAGAGCGTCAGTGCCATGGGGAGTGCGAGCCAGGACGCAACGGGATGCGGGAGCGCGACGGGATGGGAGCAGCCCTGGCCAGACCGGCTGCCTCCATCCTTCCCCATCCACTGCCCTTCCCGAGCTCGGATGGCTCCCGGGTTTCGGCTTCTACCTGGCCTGCTGCATGCATTGTATTTGTCTAAAACAAGGGACTGCATCCGTGTAAAACCAGGGATTGCATTTGTGTAAAACCAGGGATTGCATCCATGTAAAACTAGGAACTGCATTTGTGTAAAACTAGGGATTGCATCCGTGTAAAACCAGGGACTGCATTCGTGTAAAACCAGGGATTGCATCCGTGTAAAACCAGGGATTGCATCCGTGTAAAACCAGGGGTTTCATTATTGTTACGGGCTGGATGTCACAGCCCGGGGACGCTGAGCCCCGGGAAGTCGGACGTGCCTGGGATGGCCCAAACATGGGGCAGGATTTAGGGGACAGCCCCTGCGGCTCCCGCAGCTGGGGTTCCCATGTGTACAACGGCACGCTGAGGTCTGCACACTCGGCCTGTGTGAGGAGCAAAGCGGCACGTGGACACGAGGAGCTTCCCGCAGGTGCCACGCGAGCAGAAGGAGGCGAAAGGGGAGCTAAAGCAGCGGCAGAACAGCAGGGAGGGAGGGAAGGAGCACAGCGCTTTCCTACGAGGCCTGCCGCCTTGCTGCGAGCCCGCGTGCTCATTCGGCTTCGCAAGGATTTTTTCYTTTTTAATGAGGAAACAGTCTCTAGCACCCTCATTTCTGAATTTCACGCTGCTTCCCTTTTGGCTTCTCCTCTGATTCTGGCTGCTGGAGCTTTTCCTGCTTTCCCAGGAAGGAGGASTGTCCCGTTCCTTCTCCACCCCTTCACAGCCTGCTGTTGCCTAACATCTCCTTTGGTTGCTGGAACCCCCATCCCTTCATACCTGAGTGYGTCAGGAAACGACCACAAATTTATCCTTCCTTCAAGAAAGGTTGTCCATTCTCTAACAAAACCATTATTTTGCATTTGCTTTTAAAGCTATTCAGTGCATTTATGTTGCGATGCCTGTGCAGATGCTCCAAAACAGGAGGGTGCTCCTACGTGTGGGTGTCGCAGCCGCCGGCCTCCCCGTCCACACGGGCAGGGAGCGGGACTCGAATGCACAAAGTTCCCTGGTTTCTGTTTACTAAATGTCACGTTTAGTAGCTTGGACAGGCTCAGCTGGAAGACACCAGTGCAYTAAATAACTCCTAACGGGACGCAAAACCTCAGGGACCTGGATCATTCCCTGACAGTGGCCTGTGGGCTACAGGACACCATTTCCCAACCACTCCTTCCCAGARAGCAACGGCTGGTGTTTATGGGGCTCTACGGAAAACTCGGCTTTGCTTCTTTTCAGCCCAGCAAGGCAGAGCAGGAGGCTCTCAAAGCTCGGCTGGAAGAAGTGCAAAAACATTGGGAAGAAAGGTAGGTAGAGCCTAAAGCAGAGGCTTCCCCTGGAACGTGGGGCCAAGGAAGCCACCAATGTGGCCAAGGAAGCCACCGCTTTGGGGGCAAGAGGGGACTAGAAGAAGTCACGGTGTGGTGCAGACTTGCCAGGCACAGGGAGCAGCATCCCTGCATGCCACCCTCTGTGCACGAGGAGATGCTCCTTGCACGTCCCTCTGTGCACGAGCAGATCCTTTCACCCGTGTCTGGCTCTTGGCACTGCGGCCAGTGGCACTTTGCAGGCTGCACACCTAGCAGAGCTACTTGCCTGGCTCCGGGAACCTCCTCTCACCTCTCCAAGGGGCTCAACCCGGCTGCTCTCACCAGCACACGCTGCCTCACCGAGCTCCGACCCTGATACCCCGCTGCYGCAGTGACTGGGATGGTGAACCCCCAATTCCTGCTTTTCCTGAACGGGGAGCAGAGCTAGGGGCTCTCAGCTGCCCGGGCAATAGGGGCTATTCCCGTATTATCCCGCATGGGGATATTCCCCGGATTTCCCAGAGCAGGGATCCTGCAGCAGGAGGGTGCTGCAATGCGGCTGCACGCGCTCCACGAGCACGGAGCGCAAGGCCAATCCGGAGGAAAGGCACCTTTCCTCCCCAGTCCTATCCCAGGGACCACACGGACGCGGTATAACCTCCGTGCAGCACCCAGAGCCCTAACTCGCCTGTTCCCTTCCACTCGGACTGAGTTTAATTAGGCTGCATGGGGAACGTGGAAGCACGGCGGCTGTGCTGCACCGCAGAGCCACCCCGGGCGCCTCGGGCCGAAACCCTCCTGCAGAGTCAGCACATGCAGAACCGCACAGACGCACGAGGGCTAAGGCTGGAAAGAAGAGGGGAGAGTGGCCAGAGCACCGTGGTGTTGAGAGCGGCACCGACGGAGGCGGCGGCTTCGTGCAGGTCGCGTCTGCAGGCGCAGGGCGCTCGCTCGCTCAGCCTGGGGAAAGAGGAGCCTGTCCCTGCACACGCACCCAGGGTCCCGGCTAAGAGCAACAGGAGAGACGAGCAGTTAGAGTTACGGACGAGGCTGGCGCAGGAACGAAGGGGAAGGAGCCTGCTGTGAAAGAGAAAAGTAAGGTGGAAAAAGACTGCAGGTTCCTACGGGTGAAATGGGTTAATCCCGAGAGAAAAAATATCCGCCTGGGTCTGCAGGGATGCCCGCCAGTTTGCGAGGGGGATTCTGAACCACAGCGAAAGCAAGAGCAGCACGGTAACGGCAAAAAGAGCAATGCGGGAGCAGCCCCAGAGAGCSCGGCGGCCGCTGGCTGCGTCGGGCCCCGCGCGCGGCTGCAGCGCGGGCAGCTCCCTCATGTGTGGTTGTGGTCTGTGTGCAGGCCACGGACACTAACCGGGTGCTGTGGGCACTGACTGGGCATCGTGGGCACTGACCGGGCGCTGTGGGCACTAACTAGGCTCTCTGGGCACTAACCGGGCRCCGAGAGCACTGACTGGGTGCTGAGGGCCATGGACACTAACTGGGCGCTGTGGGCACTAACCAGGCGCCGTGGGCACTGACCGGGCACCACGGGCACTAACTGGGCATCGTGGGCACTAACTGGGCGCCGTGGGCACTGACGAGGTTCTCTGGGCACTAACCGGGTGCTGAGGGCACTGACCAGGCGCCGAAGGGACTGACTGGGCGCCGAGGGCCATGGACACTAACTGGGCGCTGTGGGCACTAACTGGGCACCAAGGGCTGCGGGCACTGACCAGGTCCCCTGGGCACTAACTGAGCGCCATGGGCACTGATCGTGCACGGCGGGCACTAGCTGGGCGCTGTGGGCACTAACTGGGTGCTGTGGGCACTGACCAGGTGCTGTGGGCACTGCGGGCACTAACCAGGCACCACGGGCACTAACTGGGYGCTGTGGGCACCAATTGGGTGCCACAGACACTAACTGGGCACTGTGGGCACTAACCGGGCGCCGAGAGCCGTGGGCACTAACCGGGTGCCGTGGGCACTAACCGGGTGCTGTGGGCACTGACCAGGCGCCGAGGGCCACAGGCACTAACTGGGCGCCGTGGGCACTAACCGGGTGCTGTGGGCACTGACCAGGCGCCGAGGGCCGAGGGCACTAACCAGGTGCCGTGGGCACTAACCGGGCGCCGAGGGCCACGGGCACTAACCGAGCGCCGAAGGCACTGACCGGGCGCCAAGGGCCATGGGCACTAACCAGTTGCCGTGGGCACTAACCAGGTGCCGTGGGCACTAATTGGGCGCTGTGGGCACTAACCGGGTGCCATGGGCACTAACTGGGAGCCGAGGGCACTGACCGGGCGCCGAAGGCACTGACCGGGCGTCGAGGGCTGTGGGCACTAACCGGGTGCCGCGGGCACTAATTGGGCGCTGTGGGCACTAACCGGGTGCCATGGGCACTAATCGGGCGCAGAGGGCACTGACTGGGCGCCGAAGGCACTGAGCRGGCGYCGAGGGCYRYGGGCRCTAACCAGGCACTGTGGGCACTGATCGGGTGCTGAGGGCCGTGGGCACTAACCGGGTGCCACGGGCACTGACCGGGCGCCGCGGGCCGTGGGCACTAACCGGGTGCCGTGGGCACTAACCGGGTGCCGTGGGCACTAATTGGGCGCTGTGGGCACTAACCGGGTGCCACGGGCACTGACCGGGCGCCGCGGGCCGTGGGCACTGACCAGTTGCCGCTCCGCAGGCGGCTCGCGTAGCTGGCGATGAGCGCGTGCTCGTCCGCGCCGCGCGCCGCCGCCGCCGGCCTCGCCTGCCACCTGCGGACGGGAAGGCAAAGGGGACAGCGCRTGAGCAGCGGGCGAGCACCGCGGCTGCACCAGCGGGTCAGGGGGTGAAGGCACGAACGTGGCTGGGCACACGGCGTGAAAGGGGCATCCTGCCAATTAAAGAGCCCGGGAGCAGCCCAAAATGCAGCGCGGGAGCTCCCTGTGCTGCTCCCGGCTCCCACAGCCACCCGAGGCTCCGGGCCGGGGCTGCCAGCAGCCTGAAAGCCGGCGGCCCGCCCCGCTTCCCAAAAACACAGGTCTGCCCAGCAAAACCAGCAGCGATGTGAGGCCACATTCAGCAACTTGGTATCCACAGAGCTACCTTCTTGCAGGGGTCCATTCCATGCCACAGTTTCCTTTTGTTTTGAGCACCCWTAAATGCAAAGCTGCTGTGATTTTGACTTTTTTTTGGCAAAACCAGAGACTGAGTGCCAGCCAAATTGCCCCCCAGTGTCCCCAGGAGGAGAGCCTCCTTCCTGCAAACGCTTCAGCAACACGGGCCGCTATTGCTTGAGCGTAACGCACCTTTCTTCCTTAAAGCCAAATGCACAAGAAGCCCCATTTCTCACTTCCCTCCCAGGTGTCCAAGCCGCCCGGGCAGCCCGGAGGCTGCAAACACTTCCTTCCCCACCCAGCGTTTGTCTGGAAAGGCGGCACCGCTGGGAGCACCGACACGGGGCTGCTCCGCTGCACATATTTTAGGCACGGCGGCGCGTTCCTCCTCTGTGTGCGCAGCGGCAYGGCCGGGACGGCTGCCAGCAGCAGGACGAGACCTGGTAATAAAGCAGCGAGGCGGAATTAGCCGCGTCGAGCCCCGCGGGCGCAAAGCAGCCCTTGCAAGGACGGGTTTGGGGGCGCCGAGGGGTGCCAAGCGCCGCGCGGGGGGCCTCTGCTCCCATGGGCACCCGTGGCCGCAGTACCCTCCTCGTTAGAGCTCAGCGCTCGGCGTCCTGCGGGGAAAAAGGGACACCCCAAAGCCCAGCAGAAGTGACTGCACTTGCAACCTGCAGCGAAGCCGCTCCCCGTGACGGCTGGTGCTCCTGGCACGGGAAGGAAAGCGGCGTTAGTTTTATGTGAGCCAAGCACTGCTGCTCGGAGAGACCCCGTTTTGTGCCCACGCTGCAGAAAATGGCTGAATACCACACAAAATGGCCAAACAGCACAGAAAAAAACCCAGTTTAGAGCAAACTGGCGCTCCTGGTTTACAGCAGCGCGGGACGCGGACGCCTGCCCTGCAGGGTCCCCCGGACCTCCCYGCACGGCACGGAGCCCAAAATCCAAGCCTCAGAGTCCCCATTCGGGGAATGGCACCTGGGATCCTGCCTGGCTCCGTGCGCACTGTTTGCTAGGAAAACACTGATGTTTTCTTTCTTTGGCAGCAACTGCTCAGCTGGCGCTGCACCCACGTGGCCCGCGCGCACCCTGGTTGTTCACGAGAACGTYGCGTGGGATCGTGCAAAAAGACGGGGGGATCCCAGTGCTTCCYGCTGCTCCCGGTGCTTCCCACTGCTCCCAGTGCTTCCCATGGCCACCTTCCCATTGGGAGCCACCGGATCCCCCTGGACACTCAGCCCAGCCCGGCAAAACTACCCCCTTTGGAGAGCAAAGCAGCAGTGATGTCTTCTCTTGACGTCGTGCCAGCCCCTCGCCTTTCTGCGTTTCACCTATAGGATTCTGGATATAGGAGGATTATGGCAGGCACGCTGTGACACTCCTTTGGGAATGCCCCTCCAAGTCCTCCAGCTCCGGCCATCCCAGGTGGCAGCAGCCAAGCCTTATCCAAGGAACGGCTGGCTTGCTAGTCTTAAAGCCGCTTAATTMATTATTAGGGCATTTAAAGGGTGCTTTTCATTGTTACATTAATTTTGATTTAAAAAAAAATCTAAAAGGAAAGCCAAGCAAAACAGACCATCTATTTTTAAAGGGCTCAGGAAAAGCAGGATTAGGTGAAGCCGCTTGGAATGAAGCAAGTCTGTGTAAAGAGCAAGGAGAGCCAATGCACCTGAGCCGCACGGCTGGAAAATCCAACCGGAATCTCCACTTGCGGTGGAGCACGGGGTGAATGTGGCCCCCTCRCTGGTGCCCGCTGACCACGCTGTCCCACCAAAGCCCCTCTGTCCCCTCCTGCATCTTCCTCAGCTCYCACACCCACAGTTGCTCCCCCAGAGCTGTAAACCAGGGCTTAAAATGGAATCATCAGGGTTAGAAAAGACCTTCGTGATCATCCAGCCCAGCTGTAAATAAACAAAGATGTTATTTATAGCAGTAACAACAGGTAGTTGAGCACACGGGGRTTCCCTTTGTAACTGCTGGCTGTCAGAGCCATGATGCCCACTCTGGTCCTCATCCCTCCTTCCTTCTTGCTACTCCTCCTTGCATCCTGCTGCAAAGGACTGCCAAACCCCCATGGCACTAAGCTGCACCTGGGCCAGGACCCTGCTTAGGTCTAAGATAAAGAGCTATTTCCCCCTCTTTCCTAGAAAACGCCTGTTTTGGTGTGACGTTGGTAGCGGGCACGGTGGCATGTGCTCTGATGCAAACCCCAACTGCCGCGAACTTCTCGGGGCCAAAACTATGGGTTTAGGGCTCTACGGCTAAGACACACGGAGGGCATCTAAACGTCACGGGGCTCTAAGAGACAACGGGTGAGAAAGCCAACGTGCCCCACCTGCGTCCCGGCCACGCGGCAGAGGTGACGGTAACGGCGGCTGCCGCCACCCATGGGTGCTGCCGGTGCCTGCGCGGCTGGAAGGAAACGCCAGAGAGGTCAGTGTGGACGTGGGATGACGGGGAAAGGCACCCTTGGACACGGGCAGCAGATCAGCCGGGGCTCCTGCTCCCGGAGCAGCTCGAGGGGCTGCTGGCGCCCRCGTCCCCGCCGCGGGGTGAAGCCCGGGATCCTTCAGAGTGACAAACAATTCCCTTTTGGATGGCAAAAACACGGTAAGTTGGACCGAACGCCGGCGCACGGGACCTCCAGGCTCCTCGGCTGTAGAAATCAGGAAAAGGAATACAATAATTTGTTGGATTATAGGCAGTGAACGTAGCGACGGCTTTTATAGGCTGGGGTAAAGCATTTCTCGATGTCTTTCTGGGGCTAAGGAGACTTCTGCCCCCTGGACAGGCATTTCTGAGGGCTCCTCCACACCGCTGAGGTGTTCAGCACCCTCCACGGTCCCCACCGCAGACAGCCAAGCAGCTGGGATGATTCCTCCTCTTTCACTCCCATTGACAGTCTGCAAAGCTCACCCCCCAAAGCAGCTTTGCAGGGCTCCATAGAGACTGTTCCCTCCTTTCCCTCACATATTCTATGTATTTACAACAGTAAAATACAATGCATTTCATTTCCAACGTAGACCTGCACGGTAGAAGTGGCCGCATAGCCCAGGGGTTGACCTCAGCTGCTGTGGAAACAAGTGACGTAGGAGAGTGTTTAAAGAGAATTATAAATTAACCGTTATTCATTAACCCACCCAAGGACTGGGGCTCTTTAGGAATACAACTGAGAAGCAAAAAAAAAAAGGATAATGCACATTATTCACAGCAGAAAGAAAAAAAAATCTATTCCTGAAGTCATTTTTAAATAAATTAGCAAAAACAAATAATGTATTTAACAGGTTAGATCTACGTAAGAGGCRAAATCCTCTCCATTTACTTAGAAGGGCTCCTTGGCTGTAGGAATCAGAGACGCTCAGAGTGTTGCTGTACCACCGGTACAAAGTTCTTTGTCTCCTGCACCTGCGGGAAGCTCCTGCTTTGGCAGCGCTACAGAAACCCCGGCACACAGCAAAAACCGAGATTTTGGGAAAATCTACGCACTGATAAACTGAGAAACAGGGTTAGCTCTACCCGCAGGAAGCCTCATAAACAGACACTTTCTAATTACACGTGAAGGTTAACAAAAAAATGCAGAAGTGGTTTTCTTTTTTCTAATAAAAGCACGCAGCTGTACTCATCCTTCCAACTTTGCCCTCGGATAAGTCGATCTAGATTTGCTCCATCTTTGGGGGAAAGAAAGCAAAGGAAACCCAAAAACCCTCCACTTGGACGGGCAGAAAAAGCAGAAATGTAGGAAAGTTGTAAAGGGGGGAAAAAAAAGTCCTTAACTCCTCTTGCTAAGGACCGACAGCTCTTCATCCTCCAGGGTAATGAAGAGGGGGGCACGGAGACAACAAGGCCAACGTCAAAGCAGATGATCTAGCAACCAGGAGTGCTTTAATACGTTCGGTGGTTCAATTAACACGGCGGAAAAGGCCCAGCATATTTGGCAATGCTGCAGCCCCCGGGCACGGGCATGCAGCTCATGCAGCAGCGGCGACACCGAGGCTTTCGGGACAAAAACCCCGTGTTTTGGCTTCTGTGCTTGCTACTAAACCCAGGTGCTGTAAGAGCAGCTAGCTCGGCTGGCTGCGGGCAGGGGTTATGGAGCTCGCGGGTCCTGCTGTGCACGGCGAAGAGTCCTGCTACTGGATTTCCACATGTAAATGCTCCTAATCCAGGATCACATCACATCTCTGCCTGCCCTACCAAACTAGATAAGCACCCTAGATACCGTTTATCTCGAGAGAAACGAAGGAGATTATGCTCCTTTTGGACCACACCTTTTAAACACCTTTGCACTAGAGCAAAACAAAGCAAGCGTTTTGTGTGACCAAGGGGGGACCAGACCCTCGGGGACACCCCTGGGGCTGGCGATGGAGTGCGGTGTGGAGAAGAGGAGGGTGAGAGGGGAGCTGGTGAGYGTGTCCAAGGAGCCGAGGGGAGGATGGAGGGAGGAAGGTGCAAGCTCTGGTGGGTGGTGGCCAGGGGCAGGCCAAGGGGCAGTGGGTGCAGGTTGCAGCGCAGGCAGCTCCATGTGGCCGTGAGGAAGAACKTGTTTGGTGGGAGGGTGCCCGAGCCCTGGCCCAGGCTGCCCAGGGAGGCTGCGGAGGCTCCTGCTCTGCAGATCTGCCAGCGCGCCGGGATGCGCCCGGGTGCCCCGTGCTCYGGGTGTCCCTGCTGGAGCAGGGGCTGCGCTGGGGGAGCCCTGGGGGTCCCTTCCAACCTCAGCCACCCTGGGATCCTGGGATTCTGTGCAAGGGGGAAGCGCAGGAGCTGGGAGGATGGAGCAAAGGTGGTCCAGGCCCCAGCTCCAGAAGGGAGGAGGATCCTGCGGCTTCTCCACAAACACGTCGGGGAGAGGCCCCTTCCCTGGGACAGGTGATGACATGGACCACGTATCTGCCGGCTGCGAGTTCTCGTGGTGCCTCAGGTTTGGAATCCAGGTTATTTCTGGCCTTCCAAAGGCTGGTTCCGGCCTGTCCCATGGCTTCATCCCTCCTGCCCCTCGGAGAAGGCAAGCCATGGAGAGCCATGTCGTGGAGCTCTGGGGTCGTTCCTCTGAGGTTCGCTCCGGCTTCCTTTCTCAGCCTCTGCTGGGGACAGTATCTCCATCATAGAGCTCTCCATCCCAAATGGAAGTCAGCAGCAGTCACCTGCACTGTTTTTAAAGCCCTAACGCCTGCAATCACTCCAGCCTATGCTCTGGGGCAGAGGGCTCGGTCACAAGCGCTGTGGCCACCGATGCAGCAACATCCTCTCTTCTCGATGCCTTCACTCAGCCCCCTTCTACAGAGCTCTACGGGGCCTGAGACAGCCAAGGCCACCAACTCTCACGAGGGATTTTTCAGGTAAGTCTTGGTAGCTCTGAACTTCAGGGTGCACAGAGGCATGTGAACAGGTCCAAACAGGTCAGACTTCCTCAAGCTGCTCTTTCTGAAGTACCCCGGGTCTACTTCATCTTGCACCGGACAATAGACTGCAGTGGAGACCGTGCTTCTTTATGAATAAAAAATGTTCTAACCCAAAGAGCCCTGTTACCGATCCTTTCAAGTCAAAAGGTTAATCTTGGGAGTAATGGCGGTTATTGATTAATAGCTATGTATGTTTTCCTTGACCACAGTGGTTTTTTCCACACAGTATTTCTGGGATTCCTCAGTCCAAATCCATTGCTCCACATCAACACCATCAGAGAAGACAAGAGACTCCTTTGGTTGCATCTTTGTGGATGTGTCTCTGCTCATGAGAGGTACGAGCACCCWGCTGTTTGCACCAACTGAAGAGTATGGAATCGGAGCACCAAAGGGAGCCCAGATTTGACTATGGGATGCAGTTCTGGTCATCTCATACCAAGAGCAATGCTGAAAGGAGAGGTCCTGAAAGGACAAGAAGTGCGATCCGAGTTACAGATTACCTTCTCTGCAGGGAAAGATTAAGTAGACTAAGATGCTCAAGCTGGGAAGCGCTGGGATAAACGTGCACCATCTTCAGCAGCACAAAGTAGGTCAACAAGTGAATTTTAAAAGAAAAAAGGAAGGATTTTCTCACACAGCTCATACGTGAAAGGCAGAACCCCCTACTGTTGACTGCTGTGGATGCTGGAATTAGGAACCAGAGGTTTCTATATATGCTGCAGCTCAGGAGGTGAGCTAATGATCCCTGCAAGATGGGAAGCAAACCAAGAGCTCTGTCTGGGACTGACTTACTGCTTGTAATCTTATCTAGACATCTTGCCACTTGTCACTGCTTGGGATAGGGAACCTTGATCAGTGCAAGCATGAAACTCCTGCATCTTTAAAGCTCCTGCTGATGTCGAAGTCTTGTCATGAGCAATATTCTTCATAAGCTAATGAACCCAAGAGCGAGCTGTTGATGYAGATGCTATTCCATTAGTCCTTGGCACAACGGTGTATTTTAAGGTCGGCGCCTCTGCTTGTCCTTGCAGRAGGACTCGCTCCCTCCACCTGAGATGACCCTGCAGAGTCCTCCTTGCTGGACCTCCCCTTCACATGGGGTTGTCTGCTGGCGTTTCACAAAGCAAGAAACACCAAGACAGGTTTTTCAGACATATCCTTGCGTTTCTTGACTCTAGGTTGACTCTGTCTTCTTCCAGATCAGATCTGCCTTTCATAAAAKGTAATAAACATCATTTAAGAGGATTTCTTTTCCAGAATGGAAGGAGGCAGCAGAACGAATGCTCACTGGTTATTCCAGCAGGCAATTCCAGGTTATTCCAGACCAGCACAGGACTAATGGGAAGTGCTGGGAGGAGGTGAAACACGGATGAGTTAGAGCATGAGGAACTGCAGGAGTATTGGGAAGCTCTCCAACCAGGCACATGAGATATCGTGATCGAAAGTGGGAACTGTCCAGTTTGGTTTAAAAACATGGGAGAATTTAGTTAAATAAAAGCAAGCAACAGCTGGTTSGTTGGTCACTACCCAAGTTAATCTCTGCTGTCCATGAGTGGGAGCAGAAAGATGGTTTTTCCATTTCAYTGTCCTACACAAGAGGACACGGAGAGGCAGGAGAACCTCATGGACATCGCTGCTGCCACCCCTAAAAGAGGCCAAAATGGACTCTTTTGGACTCAATGCAAACCCAGCAAACCAGAGCACGTCACGGCCCACGGGAATCCCTGCAAAGCAGAAACTTTGGGAAAACAGCCGCTCTCATGGCCTCTCCGCTCCCAATAATTCAACAAAGGGGGCCCTGGAAGCAACATCCGGAGCGCCCTGCACTGCGGCGCGGTTTGCATGCACTGTGCTGAGTAATGCACACACACATTTGGGAATAATTTTAACATAGTTCAACAATGCATAGGTACAACCGAGGGGCTTTGTGTCGGAAGGAGCGGGAAGGTTTGTGCATCTTTGCACAGTTCTGTTGGAGGGACTGAAAATGAAGCTTTCGCCTTGTTCCTTTAATACACCTTGTCAATAAAGCAAAAGGAAACCTTTTGAAGTTCTGTTTCTCATTCCCTGCAGGGGACTCTAATTAATCCCCAGCTTTGGACACGTGCAGTCTCCAGTGAACAACCTTCTTATGTTCCCTAGCATATCGCAACGAGAAAAAAATGCAAACACAAGATCCAACTAGTTTTGGTATGTTGACTTGCACACATCTATACCATAGTTCACATAAATAAAAGGAAGGAGGTGGAAGGCCAAATTCGACCCAAATGTAAAACGCTCCCAATGGACACGGGCAACTCGAAGAGGCATCAACAGGGACAACGGAGCAGCCGCGCGACCAGCGGACGAAGGGGATGGATGGGGAGGGCTTGGCCAGCACGGCAGTCTATGGTGCAAGGCCAACCCTCCTCAGAAGAGCTCAGAAATAACTCTCTCTTACAGAAAAGTACAACAAAAWCCTCTTTCATACTATTTAGGTATTTCTTCAATCACCATAATAACGTTCCTGCAGTCAAGGGAAATCATTGCTTCTTTTGCGAGTGCTGCACGTGGCCTTGGAAATATTTGAAATACATAAGAAATCTGCATTATTTGGGAACCTGCATTATTTTAGCAGCTGAATTCTATGAGGAGAGCTCTAGTGACCCCAAATGCACACCCTGTGCATTTGAGCTGTTGGGAAAAGAGCAGCAAGCCACGTACCTTTTGGTGGGAGTGGGTGCTCCGGAGGACATGTGGGTCCCCAAGGTGTCGTTCATGTTAGCGAGGGGGCGAGGAGGGCTGCAAGGGAAATGGTTGGCCCAATTAGTGACTTAAAGACAGGCAAACAAAAAGGAGACACAAGCGAGGCCAGGGAAAAGGGCATCACTGGTCTCTGCAACATCATTAGGTCGAAGAGTCGCAGCAGAAACCGCTTTGCACGGCCGTTTCCGAAGAGCCTGCTCTCCTGCATTAAAATTACTTCTCAGAATTCCARTGTTACGTTAAAACGAAGCTAAACCCAACGTCTGTGATTATGTAAGTGACCTTTAGTGCTGTTTAATAATTTAGTCTTCTTTAATAATTCAAAGCGATGCAGAAGCCCCRTGCGGGAGCGGGAGGACGCGGGCGGCCGGTGCTGGGACCTGCCGGTTCACCCCAGGACACCGAGAGAGCAGGAGGCACTAATTGCACCCTAAAACCTTGACTCCCCCCTATTTGCCATCACCTTGTCGTCCCTTACAACCACTGCAGACACCGACCTTGCAAGCTTCAGTTTTCACAACACCAGCACATTGACCTTATGGGGTTCCTGGCTCTGCTGACGTTCCTCGAGTCGGCTGCAAGGAGCCTGCTTCGGTTTTGCACACAGGAGCATCAGGAACAGGCTTAAGCCTAATTAGATTATTTCTAATATATACATAATAATATACATATAGAAGCTAATAAAGAGCTTCCAGCACCCACTCACAACTGGAAAGTCAAACACAAGTATTAAAAAAATCACCCAGATATCCAATATATAAACCCATATATAAATTGTGTGTGCATCGTGTGTGCATGACTTGCAGTAGTTCTTCATTTAGCATTTCAGCACCAATATCCTGCAATGCTCCAGCCTGGCTCCAAGAGCCTTGTCCCGAAATACTTACGCTGCCTGCTTTGATATCCCTGCTGTCCTACACGTAACGTTACACCGAGAAACGACRTGGTCGTATGATAGTACTGACTGGGCTATTTTGGAAGGGGAACTTGCTACTGTAAAATAAAAGCAGAAACGCAATCACAACACCCTGGAAATCCTGGAGCTGGCGGAAGCGACGCGCTGCACAACGCCCGCAAGGTTAATTTTGCTCTGTGCTAGCTCAGCAGCAGCGCTTGCTCGCGGCCCCTGTTCCTCCCTATTTTCTCCTTGCTGACTGAATACCAAGCTCCGGCTGCAGTGCAAAGCTCAGCCTGCCTGCCCCGAGATTTAGCCGTCACCGACGCACGTTGGAAGCCTCCTTGACAGTCCGGGCACCGTTTCTTGGTCCCCAAGCAGACCCYGGGGGCTCCCGCACGCACCCCTTGCCCTGCCTACTATTGCATTCAAGGGCAATCCTTAATTTTATTACAATGCTTCTTTCCTGGGGCTCTCTTAATGGGAAAATTGGTATTATTCGCCATGTGCGGCATGTTTTTAGCATCATTATGCGACATTTCCACAGGCTCATTCCAGTTCTATAAATACGGGTGTCCTCATATTTCCAGCTAAATCCCGGCTCCCAGTGATAAAGGCAAAGGAAAGAGCTAAGAATGCACATCTGCTTGAGAGATTTCTCTTTTCTGGATTCTCCCTTTTTTACCTCAAAAAGAGAAGTGTTTCCCAGGGCAGGCTATTTCTTGAGGCCAGTTTACACATTCCAGCGAATACACCTGCAATGAGCTGGAACGTTCTCAGGACGGTGCTGTATCTTCTCACATAACCAAGACCATGAAATCACCCTTGAGATGTGTGGACCACGAAATGACGGTGCCCTTGAGACCAGCAGCACCACGGGGCCGTTCGGACAGCAGCGGTGGAGGATGCAAAGAGTTCGTGATGACAGTGGCCCTTCCAGGGCAAAGCAGCTCTATTTGATCAAAATTTCCCATTTAAAAGATGGAATTTAAGGACTGAATTCCCCTTCCGAGATGCTCGTGGTGGCATCTGCTGCAGCCCAAGTCTGCTAGTGGAGCGTAGACACCATCCCTGACCCAGCTATGGAGCAGACACGGTTCCTGCTCTGCTCATCCCAACAGAAACGCGGATTGTGGATGGGTTTTCTGTGGCTTTTACGGGGATCTCAACATAAGGCGAGTGCTGAATCCAATCTGAAGGATATAAAATGGCTCCTCTTCAGTATGTGAAAATATTCTCAAAATGTACTCAAAAGACTGTGTATAAAAAAGGCCAGATGAGTGGATAATCCCTTGGGACAGATTAAAATTCGTGTCTTAACACATGGCTGAGCAAAGCGGGAGGGCAAGGCTGACACAGGAGAGAATTTCCAGGAGGTTAAAAAACAGAAATCTACATCCCGGACTCCGAATTTTTTCCAAGGAAGTAAATTMTGGGATGAGAAGTTGCCAAAGAGCCGGCCAAGCGTTCCCAAGGCACGAGCGCCGGACGACCCAGGGGGAAAGGCACCTGGGAGCTGATGTGAAAGCTCTGCCTGTCCTCTCAGCCCGCGAAACCGCCTGGGATGCTGCAAATCCCGTTTTCCTTCGCTTTTCCCGAGTTCTTGTGCGGCATCGAGGGTGCCTTCGAGGCGGGGGACAAACCCCGCTGGTTCTTCTCGAATGGGCACAACCACCCCCGGACCCTGAAGAGCTCCAAGGAGCTCTGAGGAAGGCGCTGATGGCTGGAGCTGCAGGAAGGAGAACCCACCTTGAGCGCAGGAGGAGGGAGGACGCGGATCCCGGCAGCCCCGGACAYGTCGGCCAGCAGCAGGAACAAAGCGACGCGGCTCCCCGGCCGCACGCGGTGAATCCCAGCACTCACCAGACTAGGATTTGTGCCTGGAACTGCTTATAACTTGGCTCCAAACTTGGTTTTGTTCCGGTGAATTTTTCAATCGTAACTTGCAGAGCATTTAAGTGGATCCAGTCAGTCTGGGAAGAGCAGCGCCCACGTAAAAGCAGATCCCTGGGTGAACCGTTCGGGTCCCTGACATGGGGACCCACGTGGCGACACCCTAAGTCAAGTACCATAGCAGTTCTACCAGAAATGGCACCTGGTGGTTCTCCTGCTATAACCCATCCCAAAGCTACGCCACCTCTGCCTTTAACTCTCCTCGAACTATCTGTTGTGAGGATGCTTGCAAAACGTGACATAAAAGCGACACTGGCTGTGCAGCCAGGGCTCAGCAGGCGTCAGGGAGTGCAAATCCAGCCATCCTCATTGCTGTTCCATGCACGAGGTTCAAAATGCACATTACATAAAATATTAGGAACTCCAAAGACATCTCCACGTTCTGCATCAAGCTCAGCATGGGCACTACTCTGCACTGCTGGTCAGCACGGGAGGAAGGGCYGATCCCCTTCCCTATCCCACGAAGTACCTCACGAAACGCTATCGTTCCACACGTCATCCTGACGAACAACTGCGACACAGCAGGTTTGGGGGCTCCAGGACCTCTGCTTCTGTCCCGGGCAGATGTTCCTGCTGGTGGGAATGTTCCTCTGGGGAGGGAGGAAGAGAACGCACAGTTGTGGGTRCTCATAGAATCACTATGGTTGGAAGAGACCTTGGAGATCACTGAGGACAACCAGGAACCCCTCAGCACCATGACCCGCTACCCCGTGTCCCTAAGCGCCCCATCCACACGTTCCTTGAGCACCGCCGGGAACGGTGACGCCACCACTTCCCCGGCAGCCCCTTCCAATGCTCCACTGCTCTTTGCATGCAGCAATTCTCCCTCGTGTCAGCCCTGAACCTCTCCTGGGGCCATGGAGGCCGTTTCCTCCCGTCCCCCCTGCAGTTGTTCTGCAGAACAGACGGACCCCCCCTCACGACAGCCTTGCAGGAGCTGCAGGCAGCGACGGGGCCTCCCCGCAGCCTCCTSCTCTCCGCACTGAACAGCGCGGCTCCCTCGGCCGCTCCTCGTGAGGTCTCTGCTCCAGCCCCTTCCCAGCTCCGTGCCCTCCTTTGGCCCCGCTCCAGCGCCTCCCCCTTGTAGCGAGGCCCCAACGTGCCTGAAGTCGCACAGAGGGATTGTGAGAGACGTGGGGAGACCGCCCGAATCCGCACAGACCCCAAGTCCGCTYTGGCTCCCAAACAAACCAGGAATGAGCAGCGGCTGCTGAAACCTGCAGAAGAACACAGCAGCTGCCACGACGGTCCTTCGACGTTCTCAGGTAAGTGTCAGCGGGGAAAAACACAGAAACGTAGACACTGTGCTTTGGGGGAGCTTTCTCATTTCTCGCGTAGCAGTTCAGGAGAGGACAACCCTGGGACTGCCTGTTCCGAGCAGCACGCGCAGCATTCCTGGGTTTCTGCCTAGCACCTCCCTTCAGGAGGGGGACACGCGGATTGTGAAGCACAACCTGCTTTAATGCACTTCTTAGTTTCTGTTGCTGTGTTTTTACAGAGCAAAGGAACGACATCTCTGCCRAGCACCTCTTGGAAGCCCCCTGGGAGACTCCCAGGAACAGCCCTGGGAAAACTACTCTCTACATCTCCATTCAGCCTTCAGAAAACCAACCTACTCGGTGGTAGCCACGAATACCTAACTGCACCTGCAAACCTTTGATTCTTTGAAGTTACCGCTGCAAAAACACACTTTGCTCAAAACCCGCACCTCTAAATACACAGCGTACATGGCAAAAAGCATGAGTCAGGTCACCACACTCTGCCTCAACCTCCATTTACGTTAGAGGCGTTTGGCGTTTGCTGACATTCATCCAAGGAGCACTGTGGTTCTGGCGCACAAAGCGGCGCCAGCTCCAGAGCTCTCGTGGTACAAGCGCTGCACTCACACTGCAGACCACGTCATCGAGGACATGAAGCCAGGTCATCATGCCAACAAGTGGTCAGGCCCAATTTCCATAATCCTGGGCTATTTCCTACCASCATCACACCCTCCTTCCCCCACAGCAAGCTTAAGCACTCAGTGTGGTTAAACTATGTCCAGAATTACGGGCAGAGGTTTTCTTTCCATTTCACCCAAATTACCACCAACCTTTCAGGCTGCAGAGATGGATGGAGCTCGTTGCTGCCCTCCTCCCTCATTTCCCAAGTCAGTGCCAACACCGACGGGCCCGTAGCACTGAAGTTCTCG